ACACCATGGTGTGTTTTCTAACACATCATGGTGTGTTTTCTAACACACAAAGGTGTGTTTTCTAAAATTGTATAGGAAGGTGTGTAAAATGTACACACATTGGTGTGTAATTAAACACACCTTGGTGTGTAATTAAACACACCTTGGTGTGTAATTGAACACACCTGTTTTTAGAGTGTGTTGCTGAAGTTGATGTTTTTATTGCAGGCAAGTTTTGATAAAGTAAAACTTCAGATTTACTTACTTAAAATAAATAGATGTAGGAACCCCTTGCATTTTGAAATCAAACAATTATATTCCAAGGATGCTTGCAATTATTATACAGTACATGCATGAAGAAATTATACAGAAGCAATGATTACTGGTTCCTTGACCATTCATAAAACACAAGCGAAATAAATAATTTACTCACTCATTGGAAGGGCACGGCCAATAGACAATTCCCATTATACACTAATTTTAAAACTAGGCAAGGAGATGCAAATAAATCACCACAGCTAGAAAGAGCATACTAAAATTAGTAAGATTACAAAGTTTAGTTGCAAATTTTGTAGCATTTTTTTATACTTTTGTATTTTTTTAAAAATTGAAATAATTTTATCACAACAATTGAATAATGTTGTCTGAGTATCAACATTTTCTCTATCATATTTTTTTAGTTCTCATGTCATTTTCACACAAAAATTTGGTTGTGAAATTTGTATGTATAAATGCATATATATGTCGGCAAAAGAGTTTCCTTCCTTTTACATGACTATTTAAATAAGAGATCATACGTCATGTATATGACTGCAAGTCTGTAATCACAACTGATGATTGTAGACGTATATAGTGCAAGCCTCGCCACTCGCAAATACCAACAACTTATTCAGTTATTGTTACAAATACAGTTGTTAGTTAAATATTTTTCTTTACAAGTACTGTATCTATTGGGGGCATGGCTTTCTTACTTTTCAGTTACGCCAACTGTGACATTGAGTTGTTCCAGTCCTGTCATAGTAAATGAAGGTGATGACTTCAAATGTGTATGTAGAGGTGAAGGTGGAAACCCTCCAGCCAATGTAACTTGGTATAAAGATGGCGTCCAGATTGGCGAAACAAGAAAAGAAGAACAAACATTAACTCTCAGTAATGTTGATGGAACAGACAATGGAACATACAAGTGTATGGCCCAAAGCCACATCAATGCAACGAATGAAACATCAATCGAACTAGTAGTGAAACTTAATTGTAAGTACTAGTATAACCCTAGTCAAGATAAAATGTATTTAATAGATCTACTATTAACTGAGTGTAAAAATTAGGTGCAAGTATGTAACGATTTCAAAATGATTATAATATATTCATGCATTATTCAGCATAAGCCATTCAAAGAGGGTCTAGATGGTCTTTGAAAACAACATGAAATTCATTTGAACATATATATTTAAAATCCTCATGTTTTAGCGATTTCAAATATACAGTAGATAAATGGCAGCGGCGAAACGGGGAGGGGGTTACCTTGCTTTGCCTTGCCCCTCCCCCCCAAAAAAATAAAAAGTGGGGGGCTAAGATCTGTGACACAGACTAGGCTGGAGTGGCTGACTTCTTTCTTATATCAACACAAATTGAATTTTATATGCGTTAATTTAACAAAGGACACCCAAATTTTACATTTAATTGATGTGTTTTAAAACATAGAAAATCAGAAAATGATCACACCACTTAGCCAATCAGAATCCAGTATTCGTATGCTCTTTATCTCATAAATTGTCTCATAGCTCATAGCAATTTCAGTGAGTTAATGTCATTCATTAATATTCTGCAAATATAAATCTTAGTAATAGTGGTAATGAAGCATTCAACAAAAGATAAGCATATAGCCTTATTAGTATTCTCTATATATAGAGCATCTATATACTGAATAATATAAAGATATACTTAATATCAGTTCAAAGCAGGTTTTCAAGAATCTTAAATCTTAAAGTTATCGCGTAAAAATGGGAAAAATCAAGCATCCTTTTGTCGATTGAATCAAAACCAAGTTACTTTCAAGACTTATGTGTTTTTAATTGACAAAGCAAGTCATTATATGAGTCTTTCTTTGTCGAAGCAATTTCCAATATTTTTCTAAGGCCAAAAATCAGTTTCGTTGGTTTTGATATGTACCATATAGTCTTCTAAAGTGTATAAATTTTTATATTTATGACATGCATGCTTTTTTAGGTTGGTCGATACTTGAAACATTTTATCAAACTTAAGCAATGCTTATAATCTATCACAAAAAACAGTTGTCAGTCGCTATGGTCTCCAAAACAGCGTCAATTATTTTAATTAATTAACCTAGTGTCTTTGTTTACAATGCGATGGTAAAAGTGTAATTGTAAAATTTATTATTCTTATCATGACCCCGTATGCTAGACTACGAAGTATTGCGGAGGCTCCCTACACTTTCCAATGTATATCAGTGTTTTAAACTAAAAGCTATTTGAATCTAAAAAAGCAAATTTTTTGCACAAGCCATTGTTTCCTCTTATATAAAAAAAGTAAATTTAACCCACAATCGCTACTCTTCATGTTACCAAGACAACATGACGTCACCGTCTATATTGCCTATATCAACCAAAACTGAAGAGGACAAAAAAACGACGGTGACCTCCTACCTTTTTTATTGCAGAAAATACATTGTAAGTTATGAATTTTTGAATCATTTATGAACGTTATTTGAAAATCGCCAGTGTAGTTTTCGAGAAACTGCGCTTTTCCAAAGGTTAAAATGCAATCTAAAGGCTGAAATTCGGTTTCTCGAAAACTACACTGGTGATTTTCAAATACTTTAAAAAAAAGATTAAAAACTTCATAACAATGTATTTTCTGTAATAAAAAGGGTAGTTAACCGTGGTTATTTGTCCGCTATAAGGCTGCTTTTTTGGTTGATATAGGCCATATAGATGGTGAAGATGGTGACGAAGAGTAGCGATTGTGGGTTAAAATTACTCTAACTTTTATATAAGAGGAAACAATGGCTTGTGCTTGTGAGTTTTTTAGATTCAAATAACTTTTAGTTTATAAAACACTAACATATATTGGAAACTGTAGGGAGCCCCCTTATGTCCGCTAATTTTTCCGTCGTTCTCAAGAGCACCCCTAGACTTGTATACAGCCCCAGGCTAGTTCTCATGCTTCTCATGCATGCAGGAAACTATATTTCCAGTGCGAATCGGGAAACATTGAGACTCGCGAGAAAACAAGACTATTACTCGAGAAAACAAAACATTGAGGCTCTCGGGAGAACAAAACTAAATATTTCCCTCGGAAGCAGACATTAAGTGTATATTATTACTTTATACTAATTAATATTATTCACAACTAAAAGGAATTTGTTGCCTATTTTCATTCGTAACAAAGAGGATTTGTTTCTTCTTCACAGTCAAGCCAAAGAACACAAAGATTACGTTTACGAAGAATCCCGCTGTTGTTGGTGGAAATGTTGCCGTAATGTGTGAATCTAGTGGTCTTCCTGAACCAAGTTATATCATATTTCATAATGATACTAAGATCAGTAATGAGAAGACGTGTACCATAGATGTTGTGCAGTACAGTGATACTGGAACATATAAGTGCATTGCATCGAACAAACTTGGAAATGATTCAGCTTCCAAGAGTTTAACCGTAGGTAAGATTAGATTTTTAACACATTTTGTTTCGCTCAATCTACTGTGTCATGCACGTGCGAAAACACACGTACGTACGTACTAGGGAATTTTCCTCCCCGTGTTTTTCCATTCAGGTCTTGCAGTGTAACGTATCAACAAAAATAATCCGCAATTTTTGGGTGGCAAACATATTTTATTCAATCGTCTACTATATACAGCTATGTACCATTATAACTCCTCAAAGTATACTCAAAATAGCGACAACCGCACTCAGTGCCGTCGTTATGTGTGCTTTTAATTAGCTACTTTTAATTTGCCACAAATACATGTTGTGACGTCACCTGCAAGATGGGTAGGGGTAAAACGCGGAAACGGAACCCAACGGACCGACGGAACCGGAATGGCGGAAACGGAAAAAAGGGTAAAACGCGGAAAAAAGGGTAAAATGCGGAAAAAAGGGTAAAACGCGGAAAACAAACGTTGAAACCAAACTTTGATTTTATTAACAAAATCAAATTTAATCTAATTAAATACCATAAAAGTAATCAGGTGTTCTTGAACATATATTACAACACTACCTCCATTTCTATTTCTATCTCTATCTCTTCTAACTAGTTTATAACCTGGTATACTTATTTCAGAGTTGTTTCAACTCCTTGAAATCAGTTACAGTGTAGACAACATGTTTCACAAATCTGTGTTATTATTTTTATAACTTATTATTTAAAAATATTTATACACGGTAGCCTTTCACTTGTGTGATTTTCAAAGGGCCGCGTGTTTTAAAAACTTTTACAACATTTAAGTAGTAGTAAGATATTATATTACAATATATACAAGCTATTAGTATTACAAAGTTTCATAATAATATAGCCAGCGTTATTATTATTCGTCTTATTTAAGCCAGCGTGGCTTCAATAATTTGGTTTCAAGTTTTTCCGCGTTTTACCCTTTTTTCCGCGTTTTATCCTTTTTTCCGTTTCCGCCATTCCGGTTCCGCCGGTCCGTTGCGTTCCGTTTCCTCGTTTTACACCAACACAGCAAATATCATGATTATTAGATTACACTGATATCGAAGGAACTAGACTCAGTTCCGAAATATCGCATACTCGAACCGACCTGACCGCGTAGCTCAGTTGGCAGAGCATTGGGCTAGTATTCCGAAGGTCCTAGGTTCGATTCCCACCGTGGCCAGGCGTATTTTTCAAGCCTGCCCGGTGTGGATATACACTCAGAGTAACATCACAAGCATCTTATTCACCTGAGTACACTACAACAACACAGCAAATATCAGGAAGGAAAATATTACCGGATATTCAGGCACTATATGTCACCAGAGGACTGGACTGTAGGTGTAACACGTCTTTGTATTGGAAAAGGCTACAAATATACGCTGCTTTTCCTCATTGTTAGTATTTCATTTGACAGTTTTCTGTTACTGCCCCCCCCCCCCTCCCTCCCACGATCTTTGGCGGTCAAACAATTGCTCAAGTTGCCCGATGTGGAGACACTCAGAGTAATATCAGCAATTTTTTTGTACTCTTTAGGACAAATCTATCTTCGACGTGGTGGGAAAAGTTTGACCTTTTTAAAAGAACCAACAGTGAAAATAAAGTGGTCACTTGATCCTGTTTTATTTACGAATATAAGTCGGTCTTGGAGTTTCCAAAGTAGTGCTAGTGGCAAAGATGAAATTTCACGTGCTGGTGATATTACTATAGTAACCAGGTTATATGAGGTTGATATAGAAAAACCAGCAACATTGGTTTTGAAAAATGTCAATGGAAGTTATAATGGAACATACAAGTTTACCCTTTACCCAAGATTACCTGACCCCAGTATATCTGAAGTTGTCGTTTTTGTTGCAGGTAAGTTTTTATTAATATAAAGTTTGTTCGTTCACAGCAACCATGCAGGTATATCAATCATGTTTTCGCTCGCTGCTCTGGTCAATAATTTAAAAATTTAGGGTTTTCTCAAAATTCTGGTATAAAATATTGCATCCGGGCATGTATATGCATGACCAATATGTAGTTATCGTGACAACATCTGTTATCATTATCTATTCACATGCATTTATTCTAGTTCCTGATTGGTAAAAAATCCCCGGCTATATAATTCTCAATTTTCTGTTGCTGTCGTGACATTTGAGCTGCTGACGAGTATACTATATACATAGTTCAAACAATAATTATTGCATGCACACGCACGCTGTATATTATATATACATATATATACAGCCCAACCCTATAGTGCAGTCGACGGCTTGTATATATAAAAAGTTCGCGAAATTTTAAAAATCCGAAACAAAATTATTGTAGATTTTCCTCTTCAAACAAAGACGAATATGTATATGTATTTTATTACGAAAACCTTTGAATGCTTTTAAACATTATACTCCCCTATCAAGAATCTACTATGTTCATTCTTTTATTTTCGCAACAGTCAAATTGAGTGCGACTCTATAAACCTACAAAATAACTTTCAAACAGTGAAACTGTACGTGATTTCATTACATTTCAGAGAAACCAAATGTCATGGTGATCAATTGTCCCAGACGTATCACATTAGATGAAGGTGAAGACCGCACATGTGTATGTACAGAACAAGGTGGAAACCCTCCTGCCAATTTGACTTGGTATAAAGATGGAAAACAGATTGGTGAAGCGACTTATAGAGAAAATAGACTAACTCTCACTAGTGTGACTGAACTAGACGTTGGAACATACATGTGTGTGGCTCAGAGCTACACTTTAACGGATGAAGAATCAATTGAAGTAAATGTAACACTTAATTGTAAGTATGATTGACACTCAAGCATTATACGGTATAGTTTCCAAGACTACTATAGTGTAGCTCTTTACTGCGAAAGGAGTGCATAGTTTAAATTGTTCAAAAGCACGATAAGCACAAGGAAGACAATAAAATACAAAATAACAGTAACTCCGAATAACATTTTGATTTTTAATCGACGTTTCGACTAGTTTGTAGTCATCCTCAGGATTAATCATTATGTTATTTTGTATTTTCTTAAAATACTGAGTGGTTCCCGTAATTAGAAGACAATAAGTTATGCCGGTTTTCACTTAACGATTTCAATTTTTGTATCGAATTTTATATGGCTAGTCTTTGAAGATGGAATGTATAAAAAATTGTGTCTGAAAATGCAAGAAATTAACCTCTGGGGAGACGAAAGTACGAAAATGTTCTGGATAAGGACCCCCATGCAGGTCCCTTGAAAAGTTGTGTCTTAATTGTCTCCCTTTTCTTTGGTTTCCTTTCCATTTACCAATTCGTAAATTTTCCTGTTTTGGATTTCCCATGCAGTACATGCAGCAGAGAGCTGCACTCAGCGCTCATACGCTATATATATATATATATATATATATATATATATATATATATATATATATATATATATATATATATATATATATATATATAGGTTAAATTTGCTTTTTCACAGTCAAACCTGAAAACACGAAGATTGTGATTGAACAACAAGGTAAAGTTGGTAAACCGGCTACCATAACGTGTAAGTCTGAAGGTCTTCCTGAACCAAGTTATCGCATAACCCATGATGGTACCGTGGTCAGCACTGGCAAGATGTATTTTATACCTGAAGCAACGTTGAACGATGAAGGAACATATGAATGCATTGCATGGAATAAACTTGGAAATGATTCAGCTTCCGCTTACTTG